AGGTCTCCACCTGAAAGCTAAGGTAAATATCCCATGTTTAATCAGGTGCAGGAGCCAAACTAAAAGGGTTAAAATTCAAACAGCAGTTTTTACCAAAGTATGGTTGCCACTATATTTCAGCATAGCAGATCTAATACATTGTCACAAACCCAAAAAGGCAGCCAAATGACAGTTCCATATTTAATTTTTTGAGGAACCTCCATACAATTTTCCATAATGGGTGCACCAGTCTGCGTTCCCACCAGCAGTGTACTAGGGTTCCTTTTTCTCCACATCCTCACTAGCATTAGTTTATTGATGTGGAGAAAGGGGATCCCTAGAACACTAGCCATTCTGACAGGTGTGAGGTGATACCTCATTGCCATTTTAATTTGCATCTCTCTGATGATCAGTGACTAAGCATTTTTTCATGACTCTTGTCCACTTTGGAGAAGTGTCTATTTAGAACCTTTCCCCTTTTTTGATTGGATTGTCTTACTGGTATGGAGTTGTATGAGTTCTTTATATTTTTTTAATTAACCAATTATCAGATGTATCATTGGAAAATATGATCTCCCATACAGTGAGCTCCCTTTTCATTTTATTGGTTTCCTTTGCTGTGCAGAAGCTATTTAGTTTGATGTATTTGTTTATTTTTCCTGTTTCCCTTATTCTAGGGCATATATCAACAAGTTTTACTGCCTGTGCTTTCTTCTAGGTCAGGATTTTTATGGTTTTAAAATTTACATTTCAGTCTTTTATCCATTTTGTTTATTTTTGTCCCTCATTTTTCATATTGGATGTTTTATACTTCAGAGTTTCAAAGTATCTTTTACTCATGTAATCTGCTGTCGATGCTGATGTGTTCATTTTATTGTTTTCTTCATTTAAGTCTGTTCTGTTTTTTATGGTTTCTAAATGTGAATTCTCATTAAGTTCATCTATTCTCTCCTTAAGTTGTTTGAATAGCCTTATAATCTAGTAGATAGCATGCCTTAATTTGGTTTTAGCTTTTTTGGGGGCGGGGGGAGCTTTTGTTCTGTTAATTTTGACATTTTTGTTTCCTCATTTTGGCTGCCCCTCTGTTTGTTTATATGTGTTGATAGATCTGCTTTGTCTCCCAGTCTTGGAAGTGTGTGTGGGGGGGGGAGGGGGGGTGCCTTATGTGGTAGGTGTCCTATGGGGCCCTGTAGCTCCCTGATCACCTGAGCAAGGTATTCCAGGGGTTCCTTTATGTGGGTTGTGTATGCCCTCCTGTTGAGCCTTAATTGTTGTTGACACATCAGTGGATGGGATTGACCCACAGGCTGTCTAGCTTTGAAAACTGGCCTTAAAAACTGGCCGTACTATAGCAGATGAGCTGTTGTATGGGTGGTGTCTCCAGGAATCAGAATTCACTTTAGCAGGGCTCTGATACCTGCTAAATTTGTCACTTGGGTGCATTGTTTGTGGTGCTAATTGGGTGGTGCTCTGATGTGGTGTGAATCTGTCCATCAGGTGTGTTCACTCTGGGACATCTTGAAGGCAGTTATAATGCAGATCTAAGGCAGTGTCTGTCTGTGCCTAACACAGGGGCGCCTGGTAGGAGCTACAAACGGATCTGAGGTGTATAGCTGCCTATGCTGGGAACCAAGACTGGCTGCTACTAATGCCAGACTTGAGGCCACTTAGAAGTATTGAACATGCAAAGGCCAGACACTACGTCCTTGGGATGTGTGGACCTTTGAGAGATTTAGCAAAATTCAGAATGGCTTGAAGTCAACAGGTTGTGAAGAACAGCCACTGAAAAGTTTTGGGTTTATGGGAGAGTTGTTTGTAGCAGTCTCATGGAATCACCACACAGGGGAGAGCAATGTTAGCCAAACTGATGGAGGAAAGATATGGCACGCACCTGAGCCTGCTTCCTGTGTGTGTCTCAACAAAGGAACAGTTGCATGTGCCAGCACTTCTGCCTGGAACAGAGCTGGCCCTTCATTCCTGGCCCTGACGCCAAACAATTCCGTTCCTCCCCATATGTCCTTGGCCCTTTTTAAACTGTTGCACCAGTACTGGAGCTTGGAGCAAGTGAGTTCATCAGGGAGTAAGTACATGCATGGGCCCTTTAAGAGGACACCTTTAAGTCTATAGCAGTCCCTGTCTCACCTGAACAGAATCCTGCCAACTTTCACAGCCACGTGTTGTGGAGACTCTTCCAGCACTGGTGGTCCAGGCTGGGGGAGCCTGGTGTGGGAATATGACCCCTCACTCCTCAGTGGGAACCTGCAGCTGAGATATCCCTCCTGATTCTCAGCCACCACACATAGGTGAGAACCAGTCCATTTTGCTCTCTACTCCTCTTACCAACCTCAATGTGTCTTCTTCCAGCCAGCCTTCAGGTAAGTGGTTCTCAGGGGTGGTTGTTCCGTAATCTAGTTGTAATTATGGTATGGTCATGGGAGAGGTAAGCACAGCATTTACCTGTTCATCCATCTTCATCCTCTTCACATTGCCAGAACATTTTCCCTTGCTTAAAATTTTTTATTTCATCAATTTCAGTATAAAATCCAAATTTCTTATCATGGCAAATAGTCCTTTTGTTATCTGGCTTCCCCATTCTACTCAATGTTTAACATCACCATTCTCTTGCTCATCAGTTCTATTCTTGAGTTTCCACAAAGTGTAATTACATAGGAAGTCTCCTTTTATTTGAAACGCATAACACCTTCTGGAGGTGACTTAGCCTTTCAAATTCTGGCTGATATATATCACTGCTTCTGGAAAGCAGTATTTGATATGTCCAAGTTTCCTTGGATAGATTCAATCTCCTCTTTGTCCTGCTCAAATCTCTACATTTTTACACTGCAACATATTATCACAAGTCACCTATTTGCCTGTTAACCATATTTACATAGACATACTAATTTGCTTATTCATCTGCTAGTCCCTGAATTCCACCTCATTTTCCGAGATTCATGGCTTCTTGAAGGCCTATGACTTAAAACTTCCAGCTGTGCAGTTCCTCCCACAAACCTGGAATTTTTTTTTAATTATTGAATTACTAATAAGTACTCCTTTTGTTTTCTTAAAATTGACACTAAAGAACTCCAAATAACATACTATTTATATCATGAAAAGACTGATGTACCTTTTAACATTTTGGCACAGTTTTCTACTTTTGAAAACTCCTCTGTTGTGCTGGGACCAGTTTGGCTCAGTGGATAGAGCGTCGGCCTGCGGACTGAAAGGTCCCAGGTTCGATTCCGGTCAAGGGCATGTACCTTGGTTGTGGGCACATCCCCAGTAGGGGGTGTGCAGGAGGCAGCTGATCGATGATTCTCTCATCGATGTTTCTAGCTCTCTATCCCTCTCTTCCTATGAAAAATCAATAAAATATTTAAAAAAAAAAAAAAAAACTCCTCTGTTGTGAATTTATATATTCATACTAGAGGCCCAGTGCACAAATTCGTGCACAGGTGGGGTTCCTCGGCACAGCCTGCAGGGATTGAGCTGAAACTGGGAGTCCAACACCACTAGCCCAATGCCGCCTGCCACTCCCACTTACCCCGGCCCTGCTGCACCTGCCATGGGCTTGTGGCCAGTTTAGTCCTGGTTGGGAGAAGCTCATACTGCTGAATGGCACTCACCAGCCATAAACCCTGCATCTGGCACTCCTCCTGAGGAGGGTGGGGAGGGGCCAGGCTGGGCGGGAGTGAGACATCCCACTGATGTTTGCACCAATTGTTGAGAGCCACCTGGTGACTGCTTTTATATCATTTCTTCCTTGCACTGTCTAGAGAGGGAAAGCGGCCGCAGTACTCGAGGGCTATTTCCAGGAGGCAGGAGGCAATTGGACCTGCAGAACTACAGTCCTGAGGGAGAGAGTGGCTGCTGCCAGGCTGCTGGGCTGCAGGACGCGTCAGTCAGCTGAGTGGCACTCTTTTTTTTCTTTTTTTCTTTTTTTTTTTTTTAATATATTTTATTGATTTTGTACAGAGAGAAAGGGAGATAGTTAGAAACATCGATGAGAGTCATTGATCAGCTGCCTCTTGCACACCCCCTACTGAGGATATGCCCACAACCAAGGTACATGTCCTTGACCGGAATCAAACCTGGGACCTTTCAGTCCCCAAGCCGACGCTCTATCCATTGAGCCAAACCGGTTTCGGCATGAGTGGCACTCTTGAGAGTGCACTGACCACCAGAGGGCAACTCCTGCATTGAGCATCTGTCCCCTGGTGGTCAGTGCATGTCATAGCAACCAATCAATGAGTCATTTGGTCACTTAGGCATATATATATATATATATATATATATATATATATATATATATATATATATATATATATAAATAGCTTTAAACTTTACTGATTTTTCCATTTAATACATCTAAGATGAAAGCTCACATTCATAAAAACTTCAGAGAAAAAAATTCTGAGAACAGAATTACAAGTTGGATACAAAATCCTCAACTTATAGCAATTACTAGAAGGCAACAGACTTTATTTTTATTTTTAAATGATATCCATGCACAAAGTTTGACATAAGTCAGGAAAGGTCAAATTTTAGAAACTGAGAGGTAATTTTCACTTCATTTTTATAGTTTATTTGGTCCTTTTCTGCTAAAAATGTATAATGTATTTTATCACATCTTTTATATGCTATTAAAATGTTATTTTAAAAAGTATTACCAGTTTATAGTTGTTTTATGAGAAATCCAGTACACACACCCACACCCCTGGCCCAGAAGTTACTGACAGTAACATATCTAGTGTAATCGGCTGAGAAATAAAACAATTCTTCTATTTGACAAATGCCCAAAGTTAACGTCTCTTGATGTTAACTCATTTCAGGTTATTTTAAAAAGTGTCTACAGACATAAACACTTTTGTCGTTATCTATTACACAGTCAAGACATACCCTTGGAATTTAATATCTGATGACTGAATTATAGAAATTTTTTTTAAGTACCCATTACATTTATTCCATCACTCTGTTTTCTGATAAGCTTTGGTTTAAGGCTTCCATACATGCAAATCTACTTTCTAGGGGCTCTCTTCAGAATGAATTTTATAATGATTAGTAAGAGATGACCTGTGGTTGAAAAGTTTCCCACATGTAGCACATTCATAAGGTTTCTCTCCAGTATGAATTCTTTGATGAGCGATACGTGATGAGCTTTGTCTAAAAGTCTTCCCACATGTATTACATTTAAAGGGTTTCTCTCCTGTATGAATCCTCCGATGTTGAATAAGAGCTGAACTTTGGCCAAAAGATATCCCACATTCCTCACATCGATATGGTTTTTCTCCAGTATGAATTCTCTGATGATTACTAAGGGATGAGTTACACCTAAATGTTTTTCCACACTCATTACATTTATAGGGTCTTTCTCCAGTATGCATTCTCTGATGTTGAATGAGAGCTGAACTTTGTCTGAAGGCTTTCCCACACACTTTACATTTACATGGTTTCTCTCCAGTATGAATTCTTTCATGAATAATAAGTGTTGAGTGGGAACTTAAGGCTTTACCACATTCATTACAATTATAAAACTTCTCACCAGTATGAATTATTCGATGTCTATTAAGTCGTGAAATAGAAGTGAAGCCTTTTCCACATTCATTACATCTATAGGGCTTTTCTCCAGTGTGAATTCTCTCATGTTGAATAAGAGATGCACTCTGACTAAAGGCTCTCCCACATTCACTACATTTAAAAGGTTTCTCTCCTGTGTGAATTCTCTGATGATAACGAAGAGATGAGCTAGACTTAAATGTGTTACCACATTCATTACATAAATAGGACTTCTTCCTGGAATTAATTCTCTGACACCCAGGAAGGGATGTGCTGCAACTAGATGATTTCCTACCTGGGTTATATTTACAGGGGTTTTCTCTAGCATGAATTTTTTGATGTATGAAAAGGCCTGACCTTCGACTGAAAGACTTACCACATTCTTTACATCTATAGGATTTCTCCACAGTATGTGTTCTTAGATGTTTATAGAGGGATGTACTAAGAGTAAAGGCTTTCCCACATTCTTTACATACATAGGGTTTCTCTCCAGTATGGGTTATTTGATGTTGAATAAGAGCTGAACTTTGGTTAAATGCTTTTGAACATTCTTTACATTTAAATAATTTCTCTCCACTATGGTTTTTCTCATGTTTACGAAGAGATGAAGTGTTAATAAAGGTTTTCTCACATATACTACATTTATAACGTTTCTCTGTTGTGTTGATTTTTGGTTGATTAATTACATTTAAATTCTGTTTGAAGCTGTTTCCTTGTATTTCACATTTTGGTACTGTTCTTTCTCTAGGAACCACCTGCTTCCTAATAAGGACTGACTTTGGGCTAAGGTTTTGGCCAAATTCAGTATTTTTATATCTTCTTTCTACAGTAAGAATATTTTTGTGAGTGACTGAAAATATGTGAACACTTCCTTTTTTCTTCTGTTTTTTCTCTAATCTGTCTTCATATATGCAGGTTTTTTCTGATTTGAAGATCCACGGTCCATTCCTTTTAGATCTTTTCATTATCAACTCCTGAATTAAACAATCTTGAGTTTGAGTTGACTTTGTGGTTTTATGACTGCTCTTCCATCCTGGAGGGGGGAAAAAACAAACTGAAGATGTTTCATACGATACAGCTTTTGGCTACAGAGACAAAATGTATGGAATAAATAAACATTGATTATCTTTAAATAAGGTCTTGGTATCTGCCCAAAAAATAGTGAAAAAATTTAGATTTAAGCAGTACAGGAAAATAACCAATAAGAGCTGAAGTATTTGGATAGAAAAAATAATTTTAAAAAACACATTTACAATGGTGAGTATAGAGTGACTAAGAGAATTGGTGAATGAAGAATGGAGAAAAGAAGAATATGAATTAGAAAAGGTAATCTGGGATCAGAGTCTAAAGCCCATGATAGATTCCTAAATTATCTTCATGACATTTCTCTTCTTTATGTAATCCTTCCTAACCTGGAAAGTCTTCCTCCATTTCCCTCATGCCAAATTCCTTTGTAGCCTTTAGATTCAATTAAAAATAAACTCTTCCTGAGTCTTTTCTTGATTCAATTGTCATATTCCATTCCCTTTATTATAGACCATACCACAGTGTTTTAAAATTATATATATATCTTTCCTTTTTCCCCAGAAGTGTTATTTACAATCAGATTAGCATACCCTATTAACCTCTAAATCTTCCTGATGGCATCTAAATTATATGCAAAATGTTTTTGCTGATCTTTCTTAATTACATATATATTCTAAATTTGAAAAATGCCAAATATTCTCATTTATTTATACATTATTTTCACACACAAACATGATTCAAATACTTATAGAAGTTGCCTTACAGATCAGTACATCAGTACATGATGGGAGGGTTTCAGGGCCAATTCACATAAGAAGGCAGTTTCACAAATAGACCTGAAGCCAAAAGTCAAGTTAGGAAGCAGCCTTGCTCATGCACCAAGCATGAGATACTGCAAGCAAAGTAAAAAAGTCAAAGATCAAGAATAAAATAGGCATAAATATAAAAAGGGATGTGCGCAGCCACCTTCCCTCTCTAATGCCTGTGCTGCCTCTAGCTCATGGAGCTCCAGCCAAAGGAGAAGGGGGTAAATAAAGAGGTCTCTATACCATGGCTCATACAAAGCAGACTACCTGCAAATCAAAGAAACTGGCTACCAAAGCCGCTCAAAAGAATGCTCCCTCTACTGGAGGAGAGAAGAAACCTCATCGTTACAGGCCTGGTACTGTGATATCAGAAATCTACTAACCTGATTCACAAACTTCCCTTCCAGCATCTGGTGTGAGAAATTGCTCAAGACTTCAAAACAAACCTGTGTTTCCAGAGTGCAGCTATGGGTGCTTTGCAGGAGGCAAGTGAGGCTGATCTGGGTGGCCTTTTTGAAGACACCAACCTGTGTGCTCTCCATACCAACGTGTAACAATTAGGCCAAAACATCCAGTTAGCATGCCGCATACCTGGAGAACATGCTTAAGAATCCACTATGATAGAAAACATTTTGTTATTTTTTTTTAAAAAATTCTCTTCTTCCTTTTATTGGTAGTTCTGAATGTTAATTTTTTCCCCCATGGGTCAAAAAGGTACCTAAGTATATGATTGCAAGTTGAAAATAGGGGACAGAAATCAGGTACTGACAAATTTTCCATTTTTATTTGTGTGTGAATTTTTTTAATCTAAATGCAGGGACATAAAACATTAATGCAAGTCAAATGTTTCAAGTGAACAAGTTTCAGCAATTCAACTTTATAACAATATAAATAAACCTGTTAAAATTTTTCTGGACAATGCCAGCATTTGGATTTTTTTTAAAAACAAGTAAATTTCTTCTTGAGGCAACTAAATGGTGTTTGTTGCATTTTTATCATACAGATTCCATCCATTCAATATACTTTTCTAACTTAGCTGTCCTACATGCAAATACATGTTTTTAATGTTGTCTGTCTTCTGTGCTGTTCCTGTAAGTTTGCTATTAAAATACATTAAACGAAAAAAATATAGACACACACATGTTAAAAAAACAGGGGGGGGGGGACTAATATGATAAAGTGGTAAAGAACAAAGCTGATTTCAATAAATATTAAAATTGGGTAAGAACACAATTCATTGAATATTAAATTTTGCCAGGGGAATGATTGTGCACATAGTTTGGCATTTTATTTTGGGCTAGAGGTAATCCTATAAAAGGCTCCTTTGCATCTCATTTGAGATTCCCATCTTACATTCACTTTCATATGAATGTGTATGTATTTCCTCTACTTGGTGAACATAATATATTCCACTTTCCTCCTTTCTTCTACCAGTATTCACTTCTCAGATTCATTCATGGATAACATTTCCTGGGCCCTCTTTAAAAACTAATTCCTTAGGCTTTGGGACTTTTTTTTTTTTTTTTTCATTCTACATCCTTGACTAATTTTATATGCACACATATCTACTATTTATTGTAAGGGAACCAGGAGTTTTTTACTTCCTGCCAAACACCTTCCTAGCTCCTTCTCTCCAGTTAAGTCTTGATAAATTAAATGATCAAATCTCAATACATTATTTGGGTAAAAGTAGGAAAGGCAGTCTCAAAAAATGAGGTAATTTCTTCAGTGACTATATTAGTCATTGGTTCTAGGTTTGGATATGTGCTGAGAAAAAGATAGTAAGATTCTGCAATTTGGATTCTAGTTTATAATAAAGTTAGAGATCCTGCCTTAGGCCTGTACGTAAAGACTGCAGTTTTGTGACCAACACCTTTACTAGAACCCTGAGCATTTGGCATAGGTACTAAAATGGTATTTTGTTTCTCATGCTTTACTGTAGTCTCCCATAGTCTCTTAACTAGTCTCCCTGCTTCAAGTTTATACAACAACTCTCTACCAATTCGGTTCTACACTGTAGGCAGAGTCATCTTTCTAAAATCTGTATCTTATCACGTTACAAACTTCCTTAGATCCTCCAATTTATCTTTAATAGTTTATATATAAAGTCCTGAGTACTTAAGATGGTGATCAAGGTATTTCATGTTCTGACCTTTGTCCACCTGTCCTCATCTTCCTCCCCTGGCTTCTTGTCAGGTATGCTGAGCTATATGCAGTTTCTGAAGCACTCTATGTTTTTTGTATTTCTTTATCTTTGCATGTGCTGCAAACATTCTTTCCATTAACAAATGGTTATTAACTGCCTACTATGGGCCAGGTAATGTTCTAGGGAAGGTGATGACTAGGAGTTCTGGAGCTTATACTTCAGTATGTGTGTGTGAGAGTGCTGGGGAAAGTTGTGAAATGAAATGACAAACAGTAATTTAAAAAGCCATATGGATATGTGAAGAAAGGGCTTCCTAGGCAAAGGAAACAACAGCAAACACAAGTGTGGTGACTTCAGAAGAACAGCCAAGAGGCTGTGTACCTAGAATGCAGAGAGCAAGAGGGAAAACTGATAAGACTAGAGCAACAGATAGGGCCAAGTCATATTAAGGCCTCATATGTTATAGTAAGGTCTTTGGAATTTTATTCTTAGCATGATAGAAAGCCACAGGAAAACTGCACGACCATACTCAAGTTGGCTAGTATGCAGAGAACAGACTGGTAGGGCACAAGTAGAAGCAGAAAAGAAATAAATCATGTAAAGACTACTGCAGTTATGTAGGTGAGAAAGGAGTGGACGACAGATGACTGCCTCAGGATCAACTATTAAGGAAGTGCTAATAGGACTGAACTTGCTGATGTGCTGTAGGATGGGTGCTGAGAGGGAATAAACAATCAAAATCACATCTTCCCCCTCAGAAGAGAGCCAGCCAAAGGCCTCCTTCCCACTCCCACTCCCCATAGTGAGGACACTCTACATACTGCCATGGAAATTTCCCACATCAAGTGAAAGGGCAGAATGATGTGTGTTGTGTACTATCACTGGAGTGGACAAAGGAAAGAGTATATTCAGGAATATTTGTTTATATATGCATGGAAGAGCTCTTCCAGCTACTGCTGCTTCAAGTCTGACTACAGTATCTTACTCTTCACTTCCTCTTGCTCACTCACCATTCGCTGGCTCCATTCTGGCTTCTGTCCTCACCACTACCCTTGCTAAGGCAACTATGCTCTCCATATGGCTAAGACAGATGCTCTTTCCAGGTCTCATCTAATTTCTTCTCAGCAGCATCTGATAATGAACCTTCTTTTCCTGGAGACATTCTCTTCCTAAGCTAGTGAAGCCGAACTTTCCTCCACGTTCTTCTCATTGTTCATCAGCCTCACTTTCCTTGGTGGAATTCTCAGTCTCCTTTGAGCACTTACTTTCCCTCCTCTTTGATCCTTAGAGTTCCTCAGGGTTTAGTACTAGGCCCCCAAATCTTCTCACTCTACACTCTTTCCATGAGCCAGCTTTCATTAGAAACTTACACCTCAAGCATGACTTCTCTACTCTCTACACCCATTTATACAACAACCTACTCCAAATAGCAATTTAAATGTCTCAAAGACACCTCAAATTCAACATGCCTAAAACTCAGTTCATGATTATTCCCTCCAATCTTTTCTTTTATATATATTTTATTGATTTTTTTACAGAGAGGAAGGGAGAGGGAAAAAGAGCTAGAAGCATCGATGAGAGAAAATATCAGCTGCCTCTTGAACCCCCCCCCCCCCCCCACCGGGGATGTGCATGCAACCAAGGTATATGCACTTGACCAGATCAAACCTGGGACCATTGAATCTGCAGACTGATGCTCTATCCACTGAGCCAAAACAGTTAGGGCTTGCTCCAATCTTTATAATCCTTCAGCTCTGTAAATGACACCAGTTCTGAATTAAACCTTTAAGAGGCATCATTAATATCTCTCCCTAAGATCCCTCAGCTAATCGATTATCAAGAATTGTTTATTCGCCCTGGCCGGTTTGGTTCAGTAGATAGAGTGTAGGCCTATGGACTGAAGAGTCCCAGGTTCGATTCCGGTCAAGGACAGTATCTTGGTTTGGGGCACATCCCCAGTAAGGGTTGTGCAGGAGGCAGCTAATCGATGTTTCTCTCTCATCTATGTTTCTAACTCTCTATCCTTCTCCCTTCCTCTCTGTAAAAAATCAATAAAATATATATATTTTTAAAAAGAATTGTTTATTCTATCATCTAAATATGCCTCGAAAACATTTATTTCTCCCAAGTTCTATTAATAACAATCCTACTCTGAGCCTTGACTTCAATGTCAACTGACTTTCCCGAATTTCCTCTTATCACACACCTCCATTTGCTTTCCCTATGGTTTCATTTCTCTCTACCTTAACCTAATATGCCAGAGTTCCTCAAATTTAACTCAAAGGCTCTTTCTTGCTCTTCCTATAATCTGAACTCCATAAATTAAGTAAAATTCAGCCATTGTTTCAGTTAGCCTACCTTGACCGGAATCTCCCAAATTTACATTTCACACCAAGTCTATATTCAAAGGGGTGGTACTCCAAATCTAAGAGACTATTTAAAATCTCTACTTGGATAATGAGGTCAATCAAAGACAACTATATTTAACACATCCAAAATCAAATTTATATCATCTCTCAACTCTGATCTTCCAGTGTCTCTAGCTCAGTGAATGCTGTCACTGTCCATCCCAAAACAAGCCACAAACCAAGCAAGCATCCTGGACAACTTAATCTCCATTCTCCATATCCAATCCACCTCCAAGTCCTGCTGCTTTTGTCTCCCAAAAGTCTCTGAAACTGGTTTGCTTCTTTCTGTCTCCACCAAGTCATTCATACATTCAGTAACTGGAAGTCTACTCTGACCAGGCACTGTTTTAAGTACTGGGGAAATGGGAACAAATAAAACAGACAACCCAGTATAAGGGCATTTACAATTCAAAGGAAGAGACAGATAATAAATATGTACTATTAGGCAGTGATAAGCACTCTCAGGAAAATAATGCATAATGAGGGAGAAAGAATGAGGAGAAAGGACCCAAGATGGCAGCAGAATGGGTGGGAAGTTACACTGACCTTCCAGAACTACACTGGAATTACAACTAAAATACAGAACAACAACAACAAAAATACAGAACAAACAAGCTGAATAAGCAACTGAAGACTAGCTGAACAGGAGTCTTTTAACCAAGGACTGAGAGAAGAAGCCACATAAAGATTGGTAGGAAGGGCTGAGATGGGAAAGTGTCAGCCTCACACCCATGCGCAGTGGCTAAAAATCCAGAGGGCTATCTCCGCTGCAAAGGTCTCCCCTGATTAAGTGGAGTCTTAACCCCTATTGGGCTAGCCAAGAGAGCCAAGAAAAGGAGCCACAGCTGAAACCAGTTTGGCTCAGTGGATAGAGCATCAGCCTGCGGACTGAAGGGTCCCAGGTTCAATTCCGGTCAAGGGCATGTGCCTTGGTTACTGGAGCATCTCCGATGGGGGAGCAGGGGGTGTGGGAGGCAGCTGATCGATGTTTCTAACTCTCTCTCCCTCTCCCTTCCCCTCTGTAAAAAAGCAATAATTAATATATTTTGATTTAATTTTTTTTTTTTTTTTTTTTTTTTTTTAAGAAAAGGAGCCCCTATAACGTTTGGCTATGAAAGACAGCAAGAATTCTGTCCACCAGGAGAGACGGGAGTCTGCCAGAAACCCAGGCACCCTCTTAAAGGGCCAGCACACAAAATCTTGTTTGCAGACATTTCCTTGGGCTCTTGCAGAGAAAGGCTGAGTGGATGAGAGTTGTGTGAGGAGAGATGGAGTTGTGTGGCTCTGGGAAAAGAGCTGAAGGGAGAGCCAACAGGGTCCCTGTGCTGACTCCCTCTCCTACACTGCCAACAAACACCATCTTTCTTGGGTTGAGCACTTCCCTGCATCCGGCATCAGCCTGGAGGAAAGCAATAGTTCCTCCCACCTACCTCCCTCTCATCCCACCCTCTGGAGCTCATGCCCAGTGGAGGAGTCAGCTGCCCAGGCCTGGGAGGTATGTGTATGGGCAGACCCAGGGAGTGTCAGAGACCGAGTTTGAGATCCACTAGCCCCACTCTCTGCATTCCTGGAGGCCCACCCTTCGGAGCTCAGGCTCTCAACAAGGACTGGGCAGAATCTGGGACAGACTGACTGTGTGGCTCTAGGAAGGGGGCATATGTCCCTCGCACACCTGGCAGGTGCAGAGCCCTCTCTTCGGTTTGGGCCCAATAAACTCTGCTGCCCTCCCTAACGACTCCCTTACACCAGCCCCACCCGGGTCAGTGGGCACCTGGTGGGTGGCCACTGGCCACAGTGTACCCCAGGGCTTTTGCTGAATGTCCTCAGGCCAGCACTGGCACCAAGTCCAAATCTGTATCAGTGCGGTAAACACCCCTCACCACTATCTGGAGACTCACTGAGAAGCTACCTCTGAAACTCGCACACTTTCTGACAGAGCCAAGCAGGCAGAAGCAGGCAGGGGCTAATCTCAGGGTGATTGAGATTTGTACCCTGTTAGGTTAGCTCAGTGCTAGTAAAAGCTGGCCTCGGTGTGTGGCTTGGCCTTCCTGCATGCACCCAGCCCAGCGGAGGCAGCCCAAACCTGTGCATCACTTTGCAGTTCCAAACAGGTTGCCTAGGGCCAGTCACGAGTAGTGTCAGACAATGACCCACATGAGTCCCTTTCAAGAGACCCACTGCCAGGCCTCAGACAACATCGAAACAGGATCCCATTAGCTCAACAAGTACATCCAAAGGGAGAGCTAGCAGGAACCAGACCATCCTGAGGAGAGTTCTGCTTCATGTGGTCAGCACCCAGTGCCTTGCACACTGTGGTCAAAGTCAGTCCTCACAGCCCACGTAGGGGACATTCCTAGAGCACCCAGCTCAGACGGTCAGGGAGACTGCGTCACTAGGTCTCCCAGGACACCTACTTGGTGATGCTGCCCTACCAAGGCTGGCAGACAGCAAGCTCCTCTCGCCTCACTCCCGTCTGCGCGCGCTGGCCTCCTTTCTCTGGAAGCTCACATGTGCCCCCTCTGATGTCTGGAATACTTGTCCATCCTCGGATCCGCCCTTCCTCAGGGAAGCCTGTGCCAACACCGCTTCCTCCCAGTCTACATTCTCAGCATTCTGGATCCTTCCCAGGAGGTCCTGCCCATTCCACACCCCGTGTGCACTCAGCTCATGGACACTTGTCTCCCTACTCGACAGCAAGCTCCACCAGCACAATCTGTGTCCTTCTGTCCCCGAGTCCCACCCCAGCAGCCTCTCCCGTTCCTCTCCTGATTCCTCTCTCTAACCCACCTCATAAATGTCAAGATTTCATGGGACTCTGTCCTTTGCTCTGTTCCCTCACTTGGTCAGCTCAAGGCTTCAACTGCCACCTTTGCACCAAGAGCTCCCTGACCTCCCTCAGTCCCAATCCCATACACCTCACACGCTCCAGGGGAGCTCTCCATGGAAAACTCCACTGGAAGAGCCTTCCACGGCTGCAACAGGGAAGTCACTTTTGGTTTGGAAAATAGGAGCCCTGTTCAGACAAAAAAAAAAAAAGAAAGAAAAGACTTGGTTTTGTTTTGACACGAAGAGGCAGCTCAGATCTGAGGGGAAACTCAGGGGGGTGGTACAAAAGCTTCTGTGGGGTCTTCAAGTTGTGCCCACACGATGTGAGAGGTGTGCTAGGAAAAAGGAAGGGCCTTGTAGCACACGACTGAGTAATAATTAGTTGTACATTAGGGAAATAGGAAGCTCATGTCTGGGTCCTTGGTGTCCATGGGAAAGCTCTACCAGGGTACCTCACTCACACCTCAAATGAAACCCATCCACACTAAATCTGTCCTGTTCCCGCAACAAGCAGCCCCTCCTCTTCTCTGCTGAACCCCACTGCACGAGCCTTTATCCCTATTTGTCTTGCCTACATTATATAACGGTCTCCAGAAACCTCCTATACCCAGTTTTGCTTCACTTTAAACCTATCCCCTGCAATGCTTCCAAAATCACTGTTTTTAATTTCAAATTACTAATGAATTATTCTCCATGTGAAAAATCAAAAGATTACATATAAATAACGTCTCCTTTCATCCCACCCATTCTGGACTCCATCTCAAACTTACTATTACCAGCTAAGCTGTGCCCCTAACTTCTCTATATATTACACCTTAGACAAACGCCCACGTAATTTTCTTTAAACATAAATGAGACACATGACACCAATGCCCTGAACTTGCTTCAGTCCTTGACTTGGAGGGAGCTCTGTGCACGGCAGGTGCTCTTTCTGGCCACATGCCAGAGGGACAAACCAGCTCCTTCGGCGGGACTTTACTGAAGGACATTACATTGTTTCTGATTCAGACCAATGTTTCTAAAATGTCAATGGCCACAGAATTCTTCTGCCTAAAATCCTCTGCAGTCACCCACCGAGCAGTCCACATCCCTAAGAAGTGTACCATAATGGGGCCCAATCCAATTTTCCAAAATCGTTCCCTTCATCTCCTTTCCCCATGCACATACCCTGAGCCTTACATACACCACGTCAGCTGAATGAACAGGAGAACACGGTCCTCCTCTGAAACAACAGGAAGGAATAAGAAAAGGTCCTGACAGATCCATTACGAAGTGATTAGCAGGGCAAAGGAGGAAGCTCATGTCTGGGTCCTCGGGCTCCCTTCTCCACCACTTCTGAGAACCAAGAGCCCGGGAGAGCCTCTCCGGCCATCCTCGGCAAGCCCCGCCATCCACTGTAACAGACCTTCGCCTGGTGGATCCCGGGCACCTCAGCCCCACTCACCCAGAGAGGAGCCCCCAGAACGCTCTTCCTCCACCTTCCACGGCTCTTCTCCTTGCTGCAACAGGGAGATCACTTTTGGTTTGGAAAATAGGAGCCCTGTTCAGACAAAAAAAAGAGAAAAGACTTGATTTTGTTTTGACACAAAGAGGCAGCTCAGATCTGAGGGGAAACTCGGGGGGTGGTACAAAAGCTTCTGTGGGGTCTTCAAGTTGTGCCCACACGATGTGAGAGGTGTGCTAGGAAAAAGGAAGGGCCTTGTAGCACACGACTGAGTAATAATTAGTTGTACATTAGGGAAATAGCATAAACATCAGCCTTGATTAATAGGGTGCTATTGGCTTCCTATAGAGATGAAATGTGTTAAACGTATAGACTGAATTAAATTTGTAAACAGGTATTTATGGAAAGGATTATGTACCAAGTAGCCTGTTTAAAATGAGAAACACAATCTGACTCCCTTTAATGGTGGCAGGTCAGCAAAGTATGCAAAATCAAGCCCACTGTCTAAGGGTGCCCTTGAACAAAGAATGGCTGACAAAATAAAAGCAGAAAGTTACAGAGACCACATGTGGCTCCCAAAGCTTAAAATATTTACTACCTGGCCTTTACAGAAAGTCTGCTGACCCCCGGAAAAGACAAGTAGGAAAGGCCAGTGATAGGTCCAGAGACTGGACAAACCCCTCTGCTGAGAGATGTGAAAACAAACCACAGAACAATTGGTGTGAGGAAATAATGCCTTCACCCTCAAGAAAGTTCTAGTGTGTAATTATATAGCAGGAGGGGGTGATTATACCAGCTCCCCATCCCCATGGCCAACTCCATGCCTACAGGGGGAATGTGTTTTTAATTTATTTTTAGAGATAGCCCATAAGGACATTGTCACAGCAAACTCAGCAGAAGTTTATTGGACAACCCATAGCACTTACCCAGGGAAGCAGGTGCTAAATTAGCTCAGTTTCTGAACTGGAAAAGAGAATTGGGAAAGGCAAGTGGTAGGTCAATGAAGAGGGACGCTCCACTCCCTGCTGAGAGGTGAGCAACCAAACACAGAACAATGGTGATGGGAAATAATGCCTCAGGGGGAGGGCATTTCTATTGTGGAACTGCAGGCTGTGCCTTCCGTGGGCAATTCAATGCCTACAGAAAGGGAAAGGTTTTCACTATTTCTTTTTGGATCCAAAGTGTACAATCCTCAGGCAAAACTCAGCTAAAGTTTCTGATGACCCAGGGCTTTTATTCAGAGAAGCAAGTGCCGAGTTCCCCCATTTCTATCGGGAATTGTCCCTCTAGGGAAACTTCCTTACCCAGCGAGACCAGGTTATTGTAGTTTTCCAGCATCACATCCTGGTACAAGTGTCTCTGAGGAGAACGCAGCTTTCTCCACTCATCCCGCGTGAACAGCACAGCCACGTCCTTGAACGTCACTGACATCTGTAAAGACAAGCCAACCCAGCTCACCCAGGATGCCCACCCCGAGTGAAGAAGGTGGCAGTGGGGCGGTAGATGGGCTACTAGGAAATGCTTATTCAGAGATTTCCACAGACCACTCCTCGGGTTCGATTAATTTGCCACAGTGCTCACAGAACTGAGAAAAACAAGTTCCTTACAAGATTACCAGTTTATCATAACAGGATGAACCTCTGGAACAGTCAATGAGGAGAAGCACAGAAAGCTTTGGGGAAAGGGTTGGAGCTTCCCCCTCTGGGTGTGCCCCTCTCCTTTACTCTCCACATGTTCATTCACCAACCAGGCAACTCTCAGAACCCTGTCCTTTGGGTTTGTATGGAGGCTTCATTACAAAGGCATAATGGGTTAAGTCACTGGCCATTACATGTACTCAACTGATTAACTCATTACAGGACTGAGTCAACCCCAGCCTAAGGCAGGCAGCGGGTAGAAGGCTGGAAGTTCCACCTTCTAGGCAGGGCTGGTTTCCCTGGCAGCCCGCTCCAACCTTGGGGCTTCCCCAAAGTCACCTCATTAATACAAACTGGTGTGATTGAAAAGGGCCGGTGATGAATAACAAAACAAAGCCACTTCATCTTTATTGCTCTGAAGTTATTTTAGGTAAAACACCCACATATTACTAATCACCTAGGGAATTATAAGTGCTTTGGAAGCTATGTGCTAGGAACAGAGACAAAGACCAAACATATATTTTATATTATAAATCACAATATCATAGCTGCTCAGTGGTAGAGATGGAATTCCAACTCAGGTGGATGTCCAAGGTGCCATTCTTCACCTTTTCACCAAACTCCCTGTTAATACCTACTCATAGGTCAAGAAATAAATGAGATAATCCATATAAATGGAGATGGACAGTAGTGATTGCCACACAACATGAATGTGCTTAATGACACTGCATTATACATTCAAAAAGGGTTAAAGTGGTAAATTTTGTCACAATAAAAAAAGTTTAAATGATAAAATACATACATATGTACATATAAACAAAGATGCATAAAATTAATATTGAGGTATGCATACCAAAGAACTGATGGTGATTATTTCCAGATGTTGGGGTAAAAGTGTGCTTATTTTTATTTTTTGTTAATCCTCATCCAAGAATACTTTTCCATTTATCTTGTAGAGAGAGTAGAAGAGGGAAAGACAGAAACATCGATGTGAGAGAAACACATCCATTGGTTGCCTCCTACACACATCCCACCAGGGTTCGGGCCAGAGAGGAGCTTGCAACCAAGGTACGTGGCCCTGACCAGAATCAAACCCGGGACCCTTTAGCCCTCAGGCTCTATTCACTGAGCCAAACTGGCTGGTGTAGGGTAAGAGTGATTTTAATTTATTCTTTATATATGCACAAAATTCGTGCACAGGGGAAGGGGGGGCCTCAGCCCAGCCTGCACCCTCTCCAATCCAGGACCATTCAGGGGTCTGCGCTGTACTCTGAAGATCACCAGAGCAATGGCTGGACGATAACAGTGTGAACTTAGAGTCCACACACACTTGGGTTTGAATTCAGGTTATTGACTTCTCTGGGCCCCCGTTTCCTTATGTGTAAAATGAGGAAAATATGTCCAGCTTGTGTTGCTCAGTGGTTGAGCACTGACCCATGAATCAGAAGGTCACAGTGTGATACCTAGTCAGGGCACTTGCCTGGGTTGTGGGCCCAATCCCCAGAAGGGTGATGTGTAGGAGGCAGTCAATCAATGATTCTCTCGCATCACAGCTGTTTCTCTCCCTTTCCCTTCCTCTCTGAAATCAATATATTTTTTAAAACATAATAATAAAATAGGGATAACTGTTACACTGTTATGAGAGTGAGAACAAAGGTGAAGCCCTCAAGGCATTCCCAGCAGCATTGCCTGTTATTAGATGAAGAGGAGTAAAGAAAGGACAAGTATTTATGGGTCCTATGAACATTACATAATTCTAGAGGCCTGGTGCACAAATCCTTGCACCGGGCCTCTACTATGCATACAAAATCTTTGGTTAATCTCTTCCAGCCCTTCCTCCTCCCCACTTCCCTCTGAGACCCATCAGTCTGTTTCATGTTTCCATGCCCGTGGTTTCCTCTCCTGCATTGAGCACCTGCCTCCTGGTAGTCAGTGCGTGTCAGAGCTACTGGCTGGTGAGCCAGTTGGCCAGTAGCTTAGGCTTTTATACATAGACTATGTATTATTACTAGAAAAACATTGTTCAGCTACCATGATGATATCTTGCTAGGCCCTGCACTAAATATTTTGCATGCACTAGTTCATATGAGCCTCTCACTTAACCTATAAGGTAGGTACTTCTTGTTATTCCCATTTTACAGGTGAGGAAACTGACATACAGAGAGGCGAAACTATTTGCCCAAAGCCTAGAAATGACAACAGAGGACACGGGTTCAAACCTGGCCATGTGGCTCAAAAGCCCTAAGCATGTACACACTGCCTCTCTACCACCAATATCCCATGAAACCCTCCCTGCGATTCTTCTCTCCGTCAGACCTCTCTGACTGTGTGCCCTCCAGCATGGCTATCTTTGTTCAAGCACTGGCTCGCCATAGGGGGCCCTCCCTCACTCACACACATAAAGATGAAAACTGCAGATCAAGATCAGTTTCTAAGAATGGAGAAGTATGGCACAAGATCAAAGCTAAGAGGGAGGTGGTGAAGGCCTGGGTCGGAGCTGGGGTGGGTTAGCATGGGAGAAAATAGGGAACATATGAAATACCTTCAACAATAAAGATTTAAAAAATAAACAAAGGTAAGAGAAAGAAAAAATTTAATACTATGGATTGCAGAGCCTGGGGAAGGTGTCATGAGGATTCTGAGGGTGGAAAGAAAAAGAAAAGCATGACTGTCAAGGGCAGGGAGAGAGACAAAGGTGAGCAAGGATGGAGACGGAGGTGAGCAGAAAGGGAAACGGAGGTGAGCAGGGAGGGAGACGGGGGTGAGCGGGGAGGGAGACGGGGGTGAGCGGGGAGGGAGCCGGGGGTGAGCGGGGAGGGAGACGGGGGTGAGGGAGCCGGAGGTGAGCCGGGAGGGAGACGGGGGAGGTGAGCGGGGAGGGAGAGGGGGTGAGCGGGGAGGGAGACGGGGGTGAGCGGGGAGGGAGACGGGGGGTGAGCGGGGAGGGAGCCGGGGGTGAGCGGGGAGGGAGCCGGGGGTGAGCGGGGAGGGAGCCGGGGGTGAGCGGGGAGGGAGACGGGGTGAGCGGGGAGGGAGCCGGGGGTGAGCGGGGAGGGAGACGGGGTGAGCGGGGAGGGAGACGGGGTGAGCGGGGAGGGAGACGGGGGTGAGCGAGGAGGGAGCCGGGATGAGCGGGGAGGGAGGGAGACGGAGATGAGCAGATGAGCGGGGAGGGAGACGGGGAGAGCGGGGAGGCAGGGCCAGGAAGGAACTCTGCCAAGTGAGACTTTTATTTGTTCTGTCCCCAGTTGAGCTAAGACACAAGTTATCTGACCTGTCATATTAGTAACCGTGTCGGGAGTTGAAATTAATGAAAAGAGTGTCCATTAGGGAAGAAAAGAGAACACCACACGGGGGGGGGGGGGGGGGGGGGGATTCACTGCGCAGGCGGACCAGCTCTTCAATGAGAAGGACTTGGGCTCCAAATCCCGAGGAGACTGCAAAGGTGGAGGCCTTCAGTTCGAGGGAAACAGGAAACGAAAAAGAACAAACACACATCGGTCCCTGAGACCCGAGATGCAGTGGCTCACCTGAGAGCCTGCTCCCCTCGGCTCAGCAGCCATGTCCGCTTGCTGGGCTCTTCGCCCCGAGGATGGGCAGCGTCTCCAGGAGGCTGAACTGAGAAAAGGGGCGCCAGGAGGGAGAGGCCCCTTCTATCTCCACCCTCAGACTCCAGCTCCCAGATCCCTACACATGAGAGTGCCTCCGAGCGCCTCCGAGAGGGCAGTCAGGGGGGCGCGGGGCAGGCTGGACCAGAGGGAGACCGGCCGCCCAGGTCAGGCCCCTTCTGCCCGGCTCAGGCTGCCAGGCAGCGCCCGTGTCCCTGTCCCCGGCACCGCTGGCAGCTCCGCACCCATTTTACAGGTCAGGGAAGCTGAGGGCGGAGCGGGAGCCGGCGAGGGCGACCCAGGACCCCGCCACGGCGCGCCCCGAACCTCTCCAACCTCACGGCGCGCGTGCGGCAACTTTCTCCCCCACAAGTTTCCCCCGCGCCGCCCCCTGCGGCAAAGCCATCCCCACCCGGATACAGAGAAAACAGGAACATCCCTCCCTGCGGCGCGCGGGCTGCGGTCCAGGAGTGGGCACGGACCCGCGGCCTGGGCTCCGGGCCCTCCCTCCGCGAAACCCGACCGCCCCGCGGCCTCCGCGAGGGCAGGGGCCACGGCGAGCGCAGGGGACCGCGTCCTCACGCGGCGGCCGGGAGCGCGGGGCCGGGCAGGTGGCGCCGGGCCGGCGGGAAGGAGGCCGGGGGTGGCGGTTCCCGGGCCCGGCCCGGCGCCACAAAGGCCCCCCGCCCCTCGGCCAGGGCCGCCGCCTCCCCCGCACCGCGGAGCCGCCGCGCTCACCTCCGCGCCCCGGGGCGCGCTCCGCGGGAGGGAGGCTCGGGGACCGCCCGGCCGGACCGCCGCCTCCAGCCCAGACTCCTGCAGGGCCCGGCCAGGAAGGCCTCACTCCCCCGGCGAAGGTCCAGCGCCCCCCGCCGGTCCGGCCGGGGCGGGCGGTCTCTCCGGGAAATGGGGCCCAAGCAAGAACCGAGGGTTCTGGGAACTGTAGTCCTCAGAGCCTGTGCGCGCTCCCGGTCAGGAAAAGGAGGTTCCGGAGGCAGGGTCTTCTCTGTATCTGCGTAAAGATGTAAGGCAGACAGACCACAGGCAGGACCAACCAACTTCCCCTTGTCATTCAACGTGTGCCAATCCTGTTGTAGGAAGCTGGAAATGTGTCCGTGAGAAAAACAAAGGTCATTGGTTGCTCACTGCTCTCCAGTACTCTTTGAGGAGGTAAAGAGCATACATAAGCCATGAACATAATTATATAACTTGTGGGGACAAAAAGGGTACACATACTAACCTGATTAGCTCAGGGAAGGCCTGCTTGGCAGCCTTACAAACTCAGAGACCTAAAGCAACCACAAAGGCTGGTCTGAAATTAAAACTTTTTAAACTAAAGAGCCGTTTATGTTGTGTAGTCATGTCCTAGGCCTGTATCTTCCCAGACAAAAGTCAATCTTTACCTTAACTGAGCCTGTCCATTGTGTTTTTGCATCTACCAAAACATATTGTTGGAATGTCAAAGTAATTTTCCTTTTTCCAGACCTTCTCAAGGCACAGGTACTGCTCTGCAGAGATGCCCTCATTGTTATTGAGTTAATTGTTAACTATCCTGCACCCACCTATATAAGACTATATAAGAAAGTATACATCTATCATTTTACTTTTCATCCAACAATCCAAGCTTTCTCCACTTTGATTTCTCCTTAATCGATTACTAATGGATTTCATGTAACCCACTTGTGTCTCCTCCTTTCATTGCAATGTATCAAACAAGGTGCATTCTCTCCAAGCATTATCTCAACCCATTGAAATTCTGCTTTCTGGCATTTGTTGATGATTTGGCTCAAATAAACTCACAAAAGGTTTGAGTGTCTCTCTTATGTTAGGGTTGCCGAAGGAGGAGTGCACAAGGCAAAAAGGGGTAAAGAATATCAATTTACTAGGGGCCCAGTGCACTAATTCATGCACCTTGAAAGGAATTGTGGGCCATGAGGCTGCAGTGGACACAGGAGCGGGTCTCAGCCTATTCTCCGTACCCCCATCCTGCCCCTCTCACCGTGGCCCCAGCCCCACTCCTGCTGCTGCCACTCCCACAGACTTCTGGCGCCCACTCCACTTGCACCTGCTAACAACACGGCGGAGCAATTGTGGCTGGTGCCAGCAGTGGGTGCAAGCGCTGGGCAGGACTCACAGGAACAAAGAATTTTCAGTAACCACCAGAGGTTCACCCCAAAGACAGTGACCAGCCTTGCTCTGGCATCCCCACTCACCTGCTCCACCATCCCACCTGTGACAATACCCACCATGTTCCACAAGCATCCCCTGGTGGTCAGCGCATGTCATAGTGACTGGTTGTTCAGTTGTTCCGCCATTTGGTTGATTTGGCATATTAGGGTTTTATATATATAGATTAGGTCATCTAGATACCCAGATGGGCTGAGTCCCAAAATGGCGCCAGCACCCAAAGTTGGGGAGTCAGAGGTTTTTAAAGGACTTTAGGTGGGCTTTGTCTGAGAATTCTCTGTGCAGGTCTGGATTCTAGGAAAGGCTGGAGGAAAGAGATAATGGTCTCAGCAAGTTGAACGTCTGTTGTGAAGTGGCCTAAAGGTCAGTTCTCAGTGAGGGACTATTGATTCAATTATTTGATTGGTTCAGTAGCCATGTTTTTTGTCAAGTTTTAGCTACTAAAATCCCTGATAACATCTTACATTGACACTTTTTAGATTAGAAGATAAGTGTTATGAGGGAAAGTAAAAATGTAGAATCAGTAGGGTGGCCCCTGCAGTCACAATGTGAGAATGAAGGAAAGAGTCCTAGGCAACATGGGAGGGTAGAGGCAGTCAGGTACTGAGAAACCAACTACAATTTTTTTTTTTTTCCAGGTATTCAAACATTTATTTTTTTTTTGAAGGAATATTTAATAATAACATTGTGAGTTATTATCTTTTGCATATCCAAGTTACACATTTCAAACAAATCGTCATTTATATTTACAGTATACAGATGCAAAGCATTAATTTCCCACTAAATCATCACTTTCTTAAAATGGTACATGTGATGTTATGAAATTAGCTATTAAGCATTCAAAATAGTGGAAAAGAGGTCCTTTCTTCAGTCTTTTTTTTTTAAATATATATATATTTTTTTGATTTTTTTTTTGCCCCCCCTCCCTCCCTCCCTCACATCCCCTCCCTCCCCAGAGTTTTATGTCCAATGGTTGTACTTATGTGCATGTATAACAGTCCTTCGATTGATCTATTATCTCCCCCAGATCTTCCTCCCCTCCCCGCTGTAATTTGACAGTCTGCTTGTTGATATACTATCTTTATATCTATCTTTTGGTTCATCAGTTTATAATGTTCTTTATTATCCACAGATGAGTGAAGTCATGTGGTGTTTTTCTTTCAATGACTGGCTTATTTCACTCAGCATGATGTTCTCCATTTCCATCCAGGTTGCTACAAATGATGAGAATTCCTTCTTTTTTATGGCAGCATAGTATTCCATTGTGTAGATGTACCAAAGTTTTTTGATCCAATCATCTGCTGATGGGCATCTAGGCTGTTTCCAAATTCTAGCTATTGTAGATTGTGCTGCTATGAACATAGGGGTGCATATATCCTTTCTGATTGGTGTTTCTAGTTTCTTGGGATATATTCCTAGGAGTGGGATTACTGGGTCAAATGGGAGTTCCATTTTCAGTTTTTTGAGGAAACTCCACACTGTTCTCCACAGTGGTTGCACCAGTCTGCATTCCCACCAGCAGTGCACGAGGGTTCCCTTTTCTCCACAACCTCGCCAACACCTGTCGTTTGTTGATCTGTTGATGTTGGCCATCCTGACAGGTGTGAGATGGTACCGCATTGTTGTTTTGATTTGCATCTCTCGGATAATTAGTGACTTTGAGCATGTTTTCATGTGCCTTTTGGCCTTCCTTCTGTCTTCTTTTGGAAATAATCTATTTAGGTCCATTGCCCATTTTTTAATTGGATCATTCATCTTCCTTTTATTTAGTTGTATAAGCTGTTTGTAGATGTTGGAGATTAAACCTTTATCAGTGGTAACATTTGCAAATATGTTCTCCCACATTGTGGGCTTTCTTGTTGTTTTGTTGATGGTTTCTTTTGCTGTAAGAAAGCTTTTTATTTTGATGTAGTCCCATTTGTTTATTTTCTCTTTAGCTTCCATTGCCCTAGGGGCAGTATCAGTGAAGAAGTTCTTTTGGCATATGTCTGAGATTTTGCTGCCCGTGGATGCTTCTAGTATTTTTATGGTTTCCCGTCTGATGTTTAAGTCCTGTATCCATTTTGAGTTTACTTTTGTGTATGGTGTAAGTTGGTGATCCAGTTTCATTCTTTTGCATGTATCTGTCCAATTTTCCCAACACCATTTATTGAAGAGACTGTCTTGACTCCATTGTATATTCATGCCTCCTTTGTCAAATATTAATTGAGCATAGTGATTTGGGTTGATATCTGGGTTCTCGATTCGATTCCATTGATCTATATGTCTGTTTTTGTGCCAGTACCAGGCTGTTTTGAGAACAGTGGCTTTGTAATACAGTTTGAAGTCTGGTATTGAGATCTCTCCTACTTTACTCTTCTTTCTCAGGATTGCTGTGGCTATTCGGGGTCTTTTATTGTTCCAAATGAACTTTTGGAGAGTTCTTTCTAGGTCAGTGAAGTATGCCGTTGGTATTTTAATGGGGAGTGCATTGAACCTATAGATTGCTTTAGGAAGTATGGACATTTTGATGATGTTGATTCTACCAATCCATGAACATGGTATGTTCTTCCATCTGTTTACATCTTCCTCTATCTCTTTTTTCAGTGTCGTGTAGTTTTCCGCATATAGGTCCTTTACTTCCTTAGTTAAATTTATTCCTAGATATCTTAATTTTTTTGGTGCGATGGTAAATGGAATTGCTTTTTTAGTCTCTGTTTCTATAAATTCGCTGTTGGTGTATAGAAATGCCATAGATTTCTTGGCGTTAATTTTGTATCCTGCTACAT